AGCCATATTAATATGAGAGTGTGGCATACCGGCAAGCACACAAGCCACCTCAGTTGAACCGGTCTTGAATTCACGCGTAGCAGCAAGCCTCCAGTGTAGTCTATATTGTATCTAATTCCTGTCTAATTCTCACAAGTTCCCCCGCCCTGCAGCCCCATGTGCCAATGCAAAACATAACAATTGGAATTATTACATTTTTAAAAATAAACAAGGGTTTCCGCAGGAAAAGTATTGCGATAATATTTCAAAATACCATCAGTTATTTTTTGTACATCCTTAAAATATTCCAAAAAATTTAATTTCGTTTGGCATTATATTTCAATCTGGGAGGGCAAGTAACTCTACCACTGTGAGGGAGAAAAATTGCACAAGTCTTTATTAAATTAATCCGGCGTTACTCGCGCTAATCGTACGTACGCAAGTGCTCGCGCCGGGCCTGCGAGGCCCGTTTATGGATTTATATTTTACGCAGGTCATTAAACACCCCATTAAGCATTTACTAACAACATAATTTAAGATAATATTTAGAGCTCTAATTTTATTCAATATATGTACAGAATGTTTTTAGAAAACTTACCATGATTTATGCACAATTGGTACATGTTAAAACAAAATGATCTCCACAGACATTTCTTTCACATTTTGTACAACTTATCTTATATTTTCGGTTCTTTGAACTTGGGCAAACGCAGCGCCTTTTTCTCTCAATCGCTTTCGGATTTTTAGCATTGCTCTTGGAAGATATAGTTTTTCTTGCAAATGTCGAGGGAGACATGGCACAGTGCACTTCTCCGCTGTGTTGTCTTTCAGCAAATCTTTTGCAAGATCTCTCAAAAACGGACTCCGCTTTCTGTGCTGTAAGGATGGATGTTTTGAGCATTGATTGCAGCAGTATTTAGCAGTGTAAAGAACAGAACCATCGGCCATCTTTTGCTGTTTCTTGCAGTTGAATACGCTGCTGACATTTGGTCCACCACATCAACAGCTCCTTTCTTCAAATTATAAAATGTTATTATTTCAGGTTTTTTTTTCTCACCTGTTGTTTGGTAAATAGCGTCGTTGTTATGCATTGTAGATAAGAGGTTAACAAATTTGTTTTTTTTTAAGGAACATACGACGCTACAATCATGTCTTTATGGAATGCAATCAAGGATGAATGCCCCTTACGAGAACTGGATAGAGGCATTTCACATTCAAAAAAATCTTTCTGTTCTCGTTAACGATCCTAATTCCAATCCATCTTTTCCTTCGGCCTTTAGGAAAATTATGTTTTAGTTCTGGTTTCATCAACAGATCGCACCACTTGCTTATTCTTTTCCAGGCTTTCTTATCTTATCTAATCATTATTTCCTATCTTGTTCATTTGCGGTTTTGCAGCTGAGGTTGGTGGTTCGGTGAAACCGTCGAAACTAGTCCTGTGAAAATTTTGAAAATATAACGCTGACTTTTGTTGTTTGACTTTTGAATTAGTATTTTGTTCGGCGTGTTATCGTCTCTTAATCTATTAATAATTTAAAGAGGCACTTTGAAATTTTAATGAAATACATTTCTCGAGAAATATTTTGATCGGAAATTATTATTAGTCCAAAGGAGGGTTAGCTCAGAAGGGCTATCAGTCTCAAAACGGCATTTTGCTTTAGTTTAGTATAAACAGCGTATCATTTTTTAAATTGTAGCCACCAAATATTATCGACTTTTGCCATATTTAAAGAAATTAAATAATGAAGGATCTGCATAAATATATGTATGTTACTTGCATTGTGGAAAAACAACGGTACCTAGAGCCATCCAGTTTTGAATAACGAAATCCTCCACACGACTGTGGGCACTTGGAAGACCGAATTTTGGATTTCGAATTTGTTTTTAGTGTCTATTTCATATTTTGTAAAACTTTAAATCATTTTTAATTAACAAACTTAAAGCGAGCAATGGCAATACTGTACAGAAAAAAGCATTTTTATCTCCAGTACACAAGAACGCTCTAATTCACTATTATTTGCAAATATTTAAAATATTATACTCTCAGGCTCAAAAAGCAGAGCTTAAATTTTAGCTTTTAAAGAAATAAATACGTTTGTTTGCAAACAACCAAACCCCGAAAATAATATGTGTAATTAACTATCCTGCATGTTCTCCAGATTTGTCTCCTTGGCATTATTTTCGCTTCAACAAATCTAAAATTGCTTTACAAAGAAAATTTTTTTTTCTGACTTGGAAGGGATAAAAAAAATGCGGTAATCTACTCTTAGCGCCATGCCAAACATAGACTTCTACAAACTTTCTTTTTAATAAGCTGTATTATTTACAATAAGGCATGTAGTTGAATTAGTGTAAGCTCTGCAATATCTAGTTTTAAATACTCGAATTTCAGTCAGAAGTTAGAAGTTAAATACTTGAAGATACATTGCATCGCTGAAGAGCAAGGGGTGAGAAATTAATTGTAGAGAAACAGCGAAGTGTATGAAATATTCTAATAAAGTTCAGTTAGCAAGTGAATTTATGAAATGTTTAAGATGTTTTGCTGAAATATTTTTCCTTCCAGATGCCTGGACGGAGAGGAGATTACAGTGAGAATTTTTTTGGTTTTTGATGTGGTGAATTTATTATCGACTGATGTGAATCCCTGAAAAATTTCATATTAGTTTTAGAATTATAAATTGTATACTTGCAAAAGTGTGCACTTGTTTATGCTCAATATAAAAACCTTATCAAGGTCGTTAAAGATCTTTCGTTGGGATTGCTTACATACTGATGGAGAACATTGTAAGATTACTATTATTTTGCATTAACCAGTTATTTAAGTAATTTCAGACTTTACTATCCCTTATCTTTTCCGTTTCCTCACCAGAAACGTAAAGTATTTCTTTCGAAATTTTGTTTCTGCCTCTCCAGGCCATGTCATTAGATTTCTCAAGCTCTGAAATTACTGTGATTATTCTGCTTTGCATTATAGTTGCCGTCATTTAAATCTTAACGCCGGAGAAAATTTCTAAACCAACTTAGTGTTAAATTAAATTATCTAATCCTTGACGACTAAGTTAAGTTTAATTTGAATTTGACTGCCACTTTAAGTTACATCACCACAAGAGGTGGTCGGAACTGCTATCATGAAAAGTTGGGTTTATGTTTGTAGGATCTGTGTCTTCTATTCCACATAAACTAAATTAGATCCTAAAATGAACATGGCGAATTCTCGCACAGGCGTGAATGGATTATCAGCACAGAAGAAGGGTGAAAAATAACCCTCTATTAAATCAAAATCAGAACAGAAAGGCATGGACTTCCTGCTTTACAATAACACCGCGGCGATAATCCGAAATGGCCAAGAGGAGTACCAGCGTAACAGCGAGATGGCAATGAAAAGGGCTAGCGAAAACACGCGCTGAATAAACTTAGAGATTCAGCCGTTTAAATACTCAGTTCACGTAACTTTAAATTTAGATCCTGGCGAGAAAATGCGAAGGGAAGTTGAGGAGTTCAGGAAAGGTATCAAACTTGAAATTAATTTGTTATGCAAATTAAGGGAAACCCTACGTGTTAAAGTTCTGAATTCCTAAGAAGGTTGTTTTAACCTTAAGTCTCTGTCTTTAACTTCAGGCACAGCGATGATTCGGTCCAAGTCTGTTAGGTGTTTGACATTAATTTTTGTTACAAAGGAAAGTGAAGCTCTGTAAAGGGAAATCACACTTATTATAAAAAATCTGATGTGCACAATCTGATGTGGACATGATTTCCCTGTATGGCGTAATAAATTATACACATTTTTTGCTGCATTTCATTTAAACTTATTTCCTCAAATTTCCTTAGAGATATATTTCTCATTCAATTAAATGAAATTTCACTTCGAGGGAAGGCAAAAAACACATAAAAACTCAAAACATCTTCATTGAAAAATATAGAAACACATATAACACTAAACACAGTTAAAACAGTTAAAAAAATTCTTATAATTAAAATTAGAGTTTCTACACAAAAGCAAGCCATTCGGTCAGCGCACAAGAAGAAAGCTTTTTCGGCGAATAAAACTGAAAGTTTACTTTTGGTTTCACCCGACCAAAAGACACTAAAGGTGCAGAAACTGAATTCATTATTCTACTAAGTTTAAAATGTTAACAAATGGCGGTTCGTTAGGCGTAGTTTGCCACGTAGACTTTTAAATTATTGAATAATTCTACAACTATTGCATGCAGTTTAACCAAAGGAATAAAACATTAACCGGGCCATAAAAACCACATAATTCGATCTCTTTAAAGCTTAAAAAATGCGCAATTTACCAACATATAAGAATAAAAAAACTACGCTTGTCGAGCGAGGCACAGAGGGGGAATATATATACACATAATATATATTTATAAATCATTGGTGCACTCGATTGCAACAAAAAAGAGATGTGCACAGCTACATGTTATAGCAGTCCCATATACAAAATGCAAACGTTCTACACCTACTTGTTCTTGAGATATGCGAGAAACATACATACGTACGTACAGATGTTAAGGAAAAAAATATCTTCTGAAAAGTTAAAAAGGAGTCTAATTTTAAACTCATTTATTGTATAGTTTAGTAATATCTAGGGAAGTAGGTGTGCGCTTTTTCCCTAATACAGTTTAGAAATTAAAGCTCCAACTATTAATAATGTGTTGAAAACTATTAAATATATTAACATAATAAAATTTAAGATTGACATTTCATATATTTCTCAGTAGTTCAAAATAAACACGGCAATGTATTAAATGTATTCGAAATATATCCGTATTAAAAGGTTAAGGTTAAAAAAAACTGTAACATTTTGATGAAGAATTATTTTGCTTCAGAAACCCAAATCCCATAAAGATGTTTCTGTTCATACACAAAAATTTATTGAACGCGTGACATCATCCTACAAGTAGCTCAGATGTTACGTGACGTCCCTCCGTTGTTTGGGAATTTAGTGCCGACCTTTCCGCAACGACTCGCAGCGATTCCCTTGCATCAAATACGTGCAGATTGACGTAATGTGATGCGTCTTCGTGGCAAATTTTATGGAGCCGGACAAGCGGCCTTGTGCTGCATTCTTGCAATATGTTATCAGTCAGTCAGTCAGTCAGTCAGTAAGTCAACGACTCGCAGCGATTCCTTTGCGTCACGAGTCACAATCGAAGAAGTGGCAAAGAGGTTTTCTGCTTTTGCTTGGAGAACTATCAAGATGAAACAAACGACGCTAAAATGTGAGGTCTGTCCTTAGAGGTAAGCCTTATCATGTTAATGCAATCAGCTGCAATTTTATAGTTAATTATTGATAAAAGAAGAGCTACAGTCAAATAGAGAAAACATTTTCTAGAAAGGATGTTTCTGAATTTTGAAATTATTTAAATTAATGAAATAAAACTAAATGCATATCTTGAAATTTTAATTATTAATTGATCTCAAATTATTAATTAATGTTAATTAGTAATAATCTAAATTAATTATTTTAATTGAGAATTTTTAGAAAAGAATAAGAACATAAAATATTATTGCAGTTATTATTTTTTTTAATACGTTTTGACTTCACAATTTTTACATACAGTGCTTGCATTTCAAATTTTTTCAGTAAATTTAATACATGGAATTCGATGATGCCATAATAGAGGTTGAAGGTTAGGACCATATGTATGTTTAATTATTAATAATCCACATTAATTATTTTACTTGAGGTTTTTAGAAAAGGGTAGGAACATAAAATATCATTGCAGTTATTATTAATTTATTTTAGTACTTGACTTCACACTTTTTTACATGCAGTGTTTGCATTTCATTTTTGTTTTAGTAAATTCAATACATATGGAATTCGATGATGTCATAGAAAAGGTTGGAGGTTAGGACCATATGTATGTTAATTATTAATAATCTAAATTAATTAATTTAATTGAGAATTTTTAGAAAAGGACAAGAATATATCATTGCAGTTATTATTAGTAATTTATTTTAATACGTTGACTTCACAATTTTTACATGAATGTTTCCATTTCATTTTTTTAGTAAATTCAATTCAAATGGAATTCGATGATGTCTTAAAAGAGGTTGGAAGTTACGGACCATATCAAAAACATTTGTTGTTTTTTGTACTTGTTCCTTCATTATGCCTGATTCCTTGGTTTGCAATGGATATATATTTTATGTTATCTACTCCTGATCACTGGTGTCTCGTATCTGACGTTGCTTCGTCTAATTTAAGCCTGCATCAACAAAAAGCTCTTATCAGACCACAAAACAATCCGTCATGTGCTATGCACGACATAAATTACACGGAATATCTAAATTCTCAGAGTCTCACGATTGTCAACAATTCACAATCTCGACCTTGCTCAAACGGCTGGCAGTATGATACATATTATTACGACTACACCGCAACTAGTCAGGTAAGTATGAAAACATTCACTTTAGCTTTCAAACTTGAGACCTATTTCTTAAATTACTTCTTATGTTTTTTGAGACTTAAACCTACTCTAAAATAAATAAAAATCTCATTACAATACTAAATATAATAGAATATTTTTACAAGATATTTCCAAGGAATTATTGTACTATATATATATATATATATATATATATATAGCAAAGCATAGAAAACACCTTTTTCTATGCTTTCTAAATCGTTGAATAAATATCATTATAATATGTACCATCAACACCTTATATTACATTAAATATTTAAATTATTTCAAATAAAATTTTGAAATTTGAATATTTTGATTTTGAATATATTAAAATATTCAAAATCAAAATATTCAAATTTCAAAAATAAATTCAAATATAATGTAACTTATTTTGCATTAAATATGTAACTTATTTTCTGGGATATAAAAATGTTTAGGCAATCCCTGTACATTATTTTGCATAACCTAAAAAACTACATTTTAGATGGATAAAAAGGCTTGAGAAGAAGCTTGCATTTTAGAAAGCAAATTAAAATATTATATAAAATAAATACATAGTTAAATTGTACTTTATTAACAGAATATTGAAGGGAATAAAAGTATATTTTCTATATAAATTAACTTAATTTATTTTTAGTGAAGTGAATCCGAACTTATTTGAATAATTTCTATTTTATTCCTTTAATTCTCCAAATGATATTTCATAGAATATTAGGATTCATACATATTTAGGTTTGCATTACCTAATAAGGAGAGGCAAAAGAGATATTTTATAAAGCTATTGACAAATGTATTAAGGGTGAAAACAAGTTATAATTTAATGTGTATTTTTTATGGTGTAAATATCTTATATAAAAATTTACATTGTGTAACATACGTTTTCGTTTAATTTAGTGGAATCTAGTTTGCAGTGACAATCATTATGTTAGCTTAATTTTCATGCTTCAGATTGTTGGTAGCCTTGTTGGAAATCCCATATGTGGATATATCTCAGACAGGTGAGAACATGCTTGTTTTCATTCGTCAAAAAAACTTTTATTCTGTATTAAAACTATTGCTTGAATTCAGGTATATCACTTATATTCCCCCCATTTATATATATATATATATATAAATATTATAATGCAAAATAAAATAAAAAAGTTATACATTTAAAATCCATCCCATATATAATTCGGAATAAACCAGATGTAATCAAAAACGTAAACGTAAAATAGAATGTAAAAATCAAAAACGAAAAGCACAGTAACAAACCTCAAGAAATAGAAGGGTACAAAACCAAAAATGAGAAAAGTTATTTATATCCTCCTCAGGGGGTTGATGCTACTAAAGAAAATAAAAATGAGTACAGTTTCTGTACTGACAATGATATGAATTGAAAGTTAAGTTTAGGAATTAATGTTAGAAGAGCAAAAACCTTAAACCAAATTTACAATGTAATCTGTATCTTTATCAGTCTAAACCCCTGTGGGCCGAAGTAAACAGTGCACAAAAATTGTAGCATAAAAAATAAGAGACAAATTCAAAACGGCTGCGAAATAATAAAATTTAAAAAAAAATTGACTAGATTGAACCCATTATTTAAACTTGCAAAAATAACATTACAGCTCTTGGAAAAACAAAACCATATGCAAATTTTTAATTAAAAATTGTAAAACCAAACTAAATGCAACTTCTGAAAACAAACACTTCAGATTAAAAAGTAAAAGCGTAATTCATAAGCAAGCAAAAAAAAACTTAAAAATCTAATAAGAATTTTAATTTAGGGGACCGAGTTCAAACATATGTAAAAAGAGAAGAAATCCAACGTATGCCAGAAAAAAGGGGGGAAAGGAAAATTTGATCTAAAGAATGTAAAATTACAGACCGAAGTAAGCAATTCAAAAACTGTACAATAAAAAAGAGACAAATTCAAAACGATTGCGAAATAACAGACAAATTTTAAGAAATTGAATAGATCGAGTCCAGAAGCTAAACGTGCAAAAAGAGTAATCGAATAGAGAGAAACAAAACCATATGCGTTTTTTTTTAATTTAAAATCGGAAAAAGAAACCGTGCTTCTGCGCTTTTTGGTTTTTGCATGTGGTTTATTCCGCATTGAATATCGGATGAATTTTTTTAAGTCATATTAATTTATACGTTATTTTGAATTATTAGAACCACTTGTTGCTTCTATCTTTGCACAATTCGATTGGGTTTTGAACTAATTTTTGCTTTTTATTTATTCATATATAAATAGTATGGGCCTTTCCGCAGCTGAATTTTAAGTTTTTGAATATATCAGGAATTTTGGTACGATCCCACCAGCAAACGCGCTGCTAAACATTATCTATAACAGTTCAAATCCAGAAAGCTGAGCCTTTGTCATGAAACCCTAGACAAACATGAAAGGACTTCTATCCTTATCTATGCCTTAGGGACAAGGCCCCTAAGACATAAATATAAAGATAGCGGTCAAATGTGTAGTGAACATGTCGAATGCTTGCAGGTTTCTAAAGAAACAGTCAGACGTTACCTCATAGCCTTGCGAAGGTCTAATGTGGAGCATGTGTGTACCTAAACATTTCTCGACAGCCCACAAGAAATGATAACTTGTTTTGTTGTTGCTGTCTCGACATCGCAACTCACGCACGTTTTATCGAATGCTGGATAAGTAGAGAATCCTTCGATAATGCGGTAGACTTGCGGAACGAACTTAAATTCTTTGCATCTAAAGATCCATGAGTTTTATCGCCAGAACATTTGACAGTTTCAAAAGTGTTGACGAAGGCTCATGATTACTGATGGAGATTATTTCGAGACATAACGTGAGTACCATGCGCTGAATGTCTGTCTGTTTCTAATGATTACAAACAGCAAGAGCATTTTTGGTTACTTTGTATTACAAAATGCATTACAAAACCTTGCATTATGTTAAAACGTTTATTGCCTTTTTCTTTTCTCTTTTGTTCTGCCTGGTTATTTGTGGAGCAACCACGGATCTCTGGCCGCCGTCGTTTTGGTTTGAGTGAGAGTTGACCCTTTAAAATCATTTGGTCCAGCTGGACTAGGCGGATTGGGTCTCCCTCGTATTTCGACCTTGTATTACAAATGAAATTACTGAATTGTCACTTCGAGAGTTAGCAATACGTTTTCCTCCAGCATTTCACAAGTCAGTGAGTCATTAGTCACTTTTTAGTTGGCTATCCACAAATATTGCCAGTTCGTGACTACGGGACTATTTGAAGAATGCTATTGATCACAGATGAGTTGAGTTCTGGCAAAATTGAAAGACAATCTATCAATGCATTTGCAAAGTTTCACAGTAGATCGTTAGCAACTGCTTAGTGAACACACTGTTCATCGGCTTGAGTGAATTCAAGTTAGAAAGGATACTTTGCACATACATCATCCTATGTAACTATAACAAGTACTTGATGTTTGAATTACCCACATTACATTCCAGGGCACATTGCTTGTGTTTCCTCCGCATGCAGTGGTATTACTTCCTTTCATTTAACTTCGCAATGCTTTTAAACTGCATGATAAATGTCTGAAATATTTTTTCTAGTTTTTTGCCTTATTTAAATACACTTTTAGTCTATTTTCACGAAAGTGCTTCTCACCAGTAATTTTGAATTGTTGCATAACAGTATAAAATAATTTCCTTTTTTTTTTTTTTTTTTTTTGTAATCGTTGAGTTTTTTACTTAAAAAGTCGTTAAAGTTTTACAAATATGAAATCGATAATAAACCAAATTCCAAATTTCAAATTTGGTCTTCCACATGCCTATATTCGTAGGAGGATTATGTCATTCAAAATTGGATGGCTCTAGGTACCGTTGTTTTATCACAATGCGAGAAATATACCTACATTTATTCAGATTTTTCATTATTTTTATTTCTTCAAATATAATGCGGGACTCTAACATTTAGTGGCAACAGTTTGAAAAGTGAAACGGACATTTATAATGATTCAACGCAAAATCACAAAACGAAAACAATAGTCCTTCAGGGACAAAGTCCCTTTGGACTAAAAATGTTTTAGGTGAAGGTATGATGCTCTACCCCGTACCTTCCACGGGCACCTAGAAGATGGTGAAAATGCTTTAATTTCGATGTATTAAGATGTATTCCTAATCTTAAATTGAATAACGTTAAACACTCCAACCTGCATAAACTGATTAAACAACCCATTGTGGAACGATCCGAATGTACTGATTACATCTGAACGTGCGAATTTAAGTACGATAACTGGTATATTGCAACTGGCTTGAATTTCTGTTATTCTTTAAGGTTTCCTTAACGATACCGATTTCAGGTTAATCATTATTACCAGCCACGGCTAGGTTTTATAATCGTTAAGTAATGAAGCTCAGAAGCGTGTAATTTAGATTTTTTTAGCATAAAAATTTTTACTCGGATTAATTCTGTAAAATATTAAGTTTTATATTTGCTTTGAGATTAAATAAGTAAAGTATATTATTTAAGGCAGTATAATAAATATGACATTTTATCTACAATTTTAAATCTTAGATTCGGACGAAAGATAACTTATACAGGCTTTGTTTGCTTGGCAGCGGTCACTGAAATTTCGTCAATACTTGTGAAAGATTTTATGGCTTTTGCAGCTCTCAGAGGTATAAATGGATGTATCTTTCCAGCCATGTTTATGCTACCTTTGATTACACGTAAGTTAATCAATTTATTCGCAATTAATATCAAAAATTTGGATTTAGTATCAAATAAAAAAATGTGGAAAATACGACAGAAGAAAGGCTGTTTAGCTCACTAGCACAATTATGACGAAATATTTAGATTTATTTTATGTAATGTTCATTTAAAATAGATTTTGAAGTTATTTAAAGAAATTAAGTTCCTCGTTCCCTGGAATAGTGAGGGATGTGGTATAGAAGTATAATCTTCGATCTTATGCAATATTTTATTCATTCGCCCATCCATTTCCCACTGGGTATCTCGGCCATCAGAAAAGCTTTTATGCTTTGAGAGGATCTTACTAAATCCTCTCAAAGCATAAAATAACTATATTGCAAAGCCTGATGTAGGTATCTAGAGGGACGTGATCTGCTAGCACACGACGGTTATCTGCCTAAAGGAAGGAATACCTTCGACAAGAAGTTTGTATAAGACACTACCTCTATTCAAATTTTACTTAATAGAAAACCAGGACAATACCTATTTAGCCAGGTCATTCCCTGAAACTGGACATTACGTTGATCTATTAGTTTTTAAAGGCCTATGCACGTGCAAACTGGTGGGCAAGGTAGACATTTGCATCAAATTAATTGGATAACTGTTCAAAACATTTTAAACATATGCGTGATGAAAATAGTGAGTTATAATAACAAAAGTATTTAAAAGAATTTCTTTATATTGTCTGATATTAGTGACAGCATGTAGAATTTATTCTTGTCATATTTAATGGCAATGGTTAGTAGATACATTAGGTTTTTTTTTTTTTGAGCCCTTGTCGGAATACAACTAGTCATTATACAACTAGAAAATGATACAAAAGAGCGGAGAGTTATATAATCTCAAATCTAACTGATCTGCATTTGCCTGGATATTCCTAGACACGTTTACCTATTATATCTTCACCTTACATTATCTAGACCAGTTTCCTATTTTTTATGTAGAAAGGGGATAATTTGAGAGCTCCCTCTCAAATGGAAATAAAGCCTTCATTTAAGTCTAAGAGAAACTGTCTCGTATGCATACTGCATACAAGAAAGGCGTGAAACCGTAGTCATGTCTATGAATTCCAACACAGATCAAACAAATATTCAACGTTCTTATCCACTCGGCCGCATATGGGCTACTTTGATTCTAATTGCTGTCGTAATTACATATTTTATTATATTTTGGTTTATGTATTTATGTTACACCATCTTGCTTTAAAATTTTATTATTTTTTTTACTATGCCATTTGATTCCAGAACCTTGCTAAGGTTTTCCAGGACTAGTTTCGAGGATTTAGCTACCCGGTAGTTAATCAAACCTAGTCCTGGAAATTTGCAACTATTACTCTGATTTTTGTTGTTTTACCTCTAAAATAATCGTTGTTCGGAGTGTTATTTTAACCTAAATTATCCTACACATGTTCGGTGGAATTTAAATAAGGGAAGAACGCTGGCCAATCGATGTAGGTATCCTCACTTTCCAGGAGGATCTCAACAGCCTGAATCCTATTTGGCCATGCATTGTCATCCATAAATACAAAGTCGTGTGCTATAGGCACTCCGGAAAAGACATTCGTTGGGAAAGATAACTTCATCACAGTAATTAGCTCCGATAAGATAAACTCTGTCGAAAATCTGGCGCTCCATTCGTCCTTTCAGCACAATGTCTCCTAATACATATCGGTCAGGACCACCCCAACGGTCTCTTTCTCTGATGTTCATGGGACGGGAGCGTGTCCCTACTTCTCTCGATATCAACTGCCGCCGAGAACTGTTGGCCAAACTGAAACGACTGTCGTTGGTAAAGACGGCGTAACTCTATTGATGAGATGTCCAACCTTTGTGTTATCTACACCACTGTAAACGGTGTAGGCGATGGATTGCTGTCAATGGTATACAGCCTTCAAGATGGCTGTCAATTGTACATCAGCGTTCAGGAATTTTCTTCCTTTCATTGCATGCTTTTGCGGTGTGATTAGAAGGACTATCCGAGAAGTCCAGATTTCAAATTCCTACAAAAGCATAGCATTTTTTTTTAATATCCTACTTCGAAAATCCTGGTAGATACTACAAGTGGCGTTGCAAGTCTACTGGTAGATTCTACAAGATACTGCAAGTGTAATAACGTGTGAATTCGTCAAGTAACTTTAAGTAATATAAAGAATTTTTTCTTTCCTCACCACTTACTTTCGTGATTTAACTGTAAGCTCGTCTGGCTAGCCTCAGATGGTTCGGAGTTTAAATGCCGATGAAAGCATCGCTATGTTTCATACTTCCTGCTTCAAACATTCATTTTGTCTCGGTATTATTTCATAATTTTACGAATACATTATCCTATGTTCTTTTCCACATATTAAAAGCATCCCGTTTATGGGTAACCTTTTCCATATCCTTAAAAGGGTTCATTTAATGAAATTTTATGCATTTTAAAAAGAACTTACGGTGAAAATGTTTCAAAGAATTTATGCTTCCATTCTTCTATAATACCGCTAAAGAAAGCAAATATAAACTTTAAGAAGGATTTAGGGAGTATTTGGAAAACACAGTTTGTATTTTACAAGTTCGTAATTATTTTTGTAAGTCGAACATAGAGACTTTAATAAAAAGCCATCGAATCCAGAACTATAGTTTTGAAAACTCAAAAAGGTGTCCAAAATGTTTTCATGAAGCCTAAATATACATATCTATGAAGCTACAAAATTCTTCGATAAAGGTGGATACAGAAATTCCTCATAGTTTACCTTCTTCATTCAAAAATCACTTATTTCATGTCTTTCTAGTTTTGTTAGACGGAATGCATTTTCAGTATTTGACAAATTATGTAGTACCCTAAGTACTTTCACTAAAACAAAGCTTTGTACATGGATTGATAAATGCTAGTTATGAAAATCCATGGCAGAAATCACTTTTTGTCATAACTTTCATATCTATACAAAGTACTCAAAACATATCTGTTATTATGTTTAAAACGTTTTTGACCATTTTTAGCGTAGAATTCTGAAAATGACTTTAATATCAGTATATGTTATATATTGTTAATCAGTTTTAGAGATTGTGTCCCCAGAGAAACGTGTTTTCATCAATGGCGTACAGACTTGCTGTTGGACATTTGGAATGTGCCTTATACCTGCCGTGGCTTACTTATCAAGAAATTGGGTGAACTTAAGTCTCGTCGTTTCCTCAACGGTACCTTTTCTTTTGTTTTGTTGGAGGTAAGTTATCCCAGAATGCGGAATTTTAATCTATGAGTTTTTTAATCTGCCTATCAGCGACATTGTGATTCATTGGCAACTATTTATAAGAGTATAAGCGATATGATATTATCGATACAATAATATATTTATGATACTGAGGGACTATTCATAAGTTTAACTATATATAAAACGAATATTCATTATAATTTTAATTTATAAGCTTGCTTAGAATCATTTTTATTTTTATCCTAATGGAGACAATTGTAAGAATTTTATTATTCCTTTTCTTTGTATGGTGCAGTAACCCTTTGCCGAGCTCATACTTACATTTTGCGCATACGCTTTAAATTAACTGTTTCTCTTTAATTTCTCCAATGCTAGAGTTTCACTCATACGCGGTACGCTGCAGAACATTGGCTGCGTTGCCATAGTTACATAATCTTTAAAACAGACCACTCAAGAGCGCATCTGGCATTTTGGAAGACATCATTGAATGCTTGCTGGTATTAGCTCTGACCAAATTTTATCAATGATCCTAGGGAATTCCATTTTGGAAAAAATTCTAAATGGAATTTTGAAAAACAATCGCTACAAAACATATTATTGTTATTCACAAACAGGGTGTGTACAAAATTTTAATGAATAATCATTTGAATCATTAGAAATATTGTGAGGAAGTAGTTTAAAATTCGACGAAAATCTTCTGAGCATAGCGACAAATGTCAAGAGCGGTTAAATAGAAGCTTATAAAAAATCTTTATGTTACATTTTTTTCTCATTAAATAATTTATAAGATTATTCTGATTTTCGAAAGAAGTTTCACTTAGATTAAATTTTGTCAAATTTTCCCAAGCAGATTTATTCCTGAGTCTCCTCGTTGGTTGGTATCTCGAGGAAAGTGCCACGAAGCAGTCATTGTCATGAACGAAATAGCGGAAAGGAATGGGAAAAGAGTCGATCCCAATGAACTTCTTGCAAAATTTCAGGTATTCCTTAACGTTATTTGCAAATATTCCTAAAAATTTGAAATTAATTAAAATTTTGATGTCACAAGTCTTCAAAATTTCTGATGATAATAACGTTTTCGAAGAAAATAGAATTCTTCATTTTACAGATGGTAATAAGTTAAATGGAAAGGTTGGCCTTGCATTTGGTATTTATGAAGATGGCAGAGAGAATGTAGCTGTTCAATATAGGATACCAGGTATGTTCTGTTTTTCAAGACGAGCTTCTGAGCTTTAATCTTGCCTTAAATGGAAACTGTTGTTTGTTGTTTAAATCTTGCCGTTAAATGGAAACTATTGTCTGTTGTGTAACTATTGCTATTAAATGGAAACTGTTGTCTGTTGCTTAAATCTTGCCATTAAATGGGAATGGGAACTATTGTCTGTTGCTTAAATCTTGCCGTTAAATGGAAACTATTGTCTGTTGTGTAACTGTTGCTGTTAAATGGAAACTGTTGTCTGTTGCTTAAATCTTGCCGTTAAATAGAAACTATTGTCTGTTGTTTAAATCTTGCTGTTGAATGGAAACTGTTGTCGGTTGCTTAAATCTTGCCATTAAATGGAAACTATTCTCTCTTGTTTAAATCTTGCTGTTAAATGGAAAATGTTGCCTGCTGCTTAAATCTTGCCGTCAAGTGGAAACTGTTGCCCTTAAATAAAACTGTTATCATAAGAATGACACGTTTAAACTTCTTATTTGCACAGATTCACTTTCTTCTCTCTCTCTCTTTTTCGTGATACACTATGGACTGAAAAACTGGTGGTAGAAATTCATTCTATATTACATGCGACTCGGCATACTGAAGACATTTATTTTGCCTAAATTCGAGGCCACAGTCGCATTCTCGGTAATAAGAGGGCTAAGCAGGAAATTTATTGTGATACTGATTTAATGCTGTCTGCTCTTAAGTCTTATTGGAAGCATGTGGCTTGAAAGGAAACTGTTGCTGCTGAATATCTTGCTTCTTCGAAGGTCCAGTGGACAAAAAGATTTTTTCCAACTGTTTTTCAACGACTTAAGTGTAGGAAGTTTCAACCGGATTATAAACCTACTTAGATTTTAAACGGTCATGGGAATTTTGGAATTTACTTACTTCGTTTCAGTATTGTTACTAGTGGACTCTGTGCTTGCCGCGATGCTGTGGAAGATGGGGAACATATTTTATTGCATTGCAGGTTGCTTCAAGTACCAGAAATACATTTAAAGTTAGTTTGAGGCAGCTCTCTGTTTCCTGGCCTCCTGGTTTCTATGATCTTGGTTTCTATGATGGCTCTCCGAAGCCTTTGCAGTCTTGCGTGACTTTATTTGTTGTTTGAACTTTTAGTATTATTATTTATATGACTGAATTTTAATCTTTTATGTGTCATTGTAATATTTTGCGTATTGTCTATGTGTGATTATGTTAGCTATTGATGTACTGTATTGTTGTATTGTTGATGTAAAATTTTTTCTTTGTATCAGTATTATTTAATTTTATTAATTAATGTATTATTATTAAGTTCATTTATTTTTAGTCCAATCGATATACTTAACCGAAAATTAGTCCATTCGATATACTTAACAGAAAATTTAGGTATTAGTAATTTCGGTAAAAGAGTGCACGTTATAATCAATTTTATTAAACTTACTTCCATATTCAGACTATTGAATACATGACAGAATTTTATAACTCATATAAAATTTTATAACTCGAAAACTAATTCTCGTGCACTCGTCGTTAATTTATGAGAGATGTTGCTGTAGTTTTATATTTTTTATCCAAGTCTAACCACCAAGTGAATAGTTTTCATTTTCCTCTAAAGATGGCGCTATATGCGGCAGTATTCGTTAACACAAACTACATAGCAAAGTGACAAAAAGATTAAACCCTTGCAATGTAACAACACATTTTTATTCTACATTATGACTTTAAATATGCATCGTAGTATTTAATAATTTTTATACTCTCATGTATTACATGTACTTTCTTCCTTTGTTTTAGCTTATAAGTATCATTAATTTTTGTTAAATTGCATTTTTCAAATCTAGGTCTTAGATAAAATGCGCAAAGAAGAGAAGCTCGTAGGTCTGAAAAATTCAGCCGCTGATATATTAACAGTGCCTTGTTTGAGGAAGTTGTTAATCTTCACGATAAGTTGTTGGTGAGAAAATGCATTTGTTGAACTAGTTTACAATTTCAACCAACGCAGTACCTCAATTTACAATTTCGTGGGTTGAATTTTTGATTTATTATTTATGAACAGTTGTTTGGTAGACATTGTTAAAGCTACTTACTTACTAATTCAGAAGTCAAACAACAAAAATCAGCGTAATCTTTTCAAAATTTCTGTACAAATTTTGAAAATATTACGCTGATTTTTGTTGTTTGACTTCTGAATTAGTATTTATTCGGCGTGTTATTCTGTCTTAGCTATTTAGTTATTTACTGATAATCACTCCATCTCTTAATCTATATGGTAGGCAAAGGCTAAACACACCTTAATACTGAAAAGAGAAATAAATGCTGTTGTGGTTAAAAAGACATCCATTTATGTTTCGCTGATAGAACAGAATTTATAGGATTCTATTTGACCAGGACTATTAACTTCATCTGAAATCGGATGACCTCGTATCTTAGAGTAACTACAAGCCATGAAAAGGTTTCTATAACTTTTTTTTTTTTGTTAAACAGAAAGTAGAAAATAAATGAACGTTCTTATGCTAACAAATTCAACCACAGCTCGTGGTGAATTAACTAAATCAAAAATCATATTTCAATTTAAAACTTGGACTAGTAGCCAATGACCTCACAATTTAAATATTACTCTAAGCTGGATAAGTAATTCTAACCGGAGTATGGAAATCAATTTGTCGGCAGCGAATAACGCAAAATCGAAAGTTTTATCTATCAACGTTGGCAGCAATTAAACGTAGCATATATACTCAAGCTATAATCACGCTTTGTTTTGCAATCGAAAACCCTTCTTTTAAATAGCCTCTCACCTATTTACATTCTGCTGAGGAAACAGAAAGGAGAAGTTACAATAAAGGCTAAATTATAAATAACTGATGAATTTAAATAATAATCTTACAAATGTACTTTATGAGTGTAGTAATTTAATATAATTTCTTCTTTCGATTACAGTTTATTTCTGATAAAACAATTCAAAAATTTTAAATTGGAGAAAATATTTTCCTGTTGGAAAAGATGTTCTCGAATTTCTGTCAGATTGTTAATCGATTGTCAATATTTGCGGACACATTGGTTTTTGGGAACAAAAAATTTGAAACGAGAGATTTTAACCCCCAGATCTTCCAACAAGTTGAATTTGATAAACATATATACCACGAGAGTACTCATATAGAAATACGGTAATTCCATATATTCTCTTTCATGCAAAGAGTGCATGGGAAGAGGCACGAGACACAGTCGACCAAATCCAGCTGGCGAAGGATTATCATCCACTACAGTTTTAGTTTGGCCTTCACTTTCGGCACAGGAAACATTAAATTTATTTGTTCCCTCATATTGCTACTTGAACCACGCTTCTTCCGTTTGCTAGCTGTTAGGTTTACGTTTGCCAGCTGTTACGTTAACGGATATTTTACGTTTGCTAGCTGGACTTAAATCTTAACAGCACACAGCGAAATCTGGTAATTTATTTTAGACTTATGCATAAATCTTTCAGTGCTGATCACTCTTATGTGTAAATCTTTTATTGCGGCAGTTCGATCTACTTTCGGTTCAGTATGCATTGCTAGTAGCCAGCTGTATCTATTAAGTTAAAATAACTATTTTTTAACGAACTAAGATATTTAAAATGAGTCATAGAAAAGTAGATAATAATAATAGTCATAATAAAGTAAAATATTACTTACAAAGTGAAGAACTGTTACTTTTGAAAAGTATGTAGGTTGAATGTACAATGGTCAGTTGTGTCACCATTTATAAGCTCATTTAAACGCATTTCTAGAAGAAGGCCTGGAATTCATTTTCAGGGTTTCTGCTAAATATATGGTCAGCATTTTGTTGAATATTAGTTATATTAAAAATTTTCCTCCATTCTTCGCAGCTTTTGATTTTGAAATAGGCAGGAATCACAAGAAATTCAGATTAGGTTATAAAGTATTTCTCCCACCTTCCTAGCATGCCTTCCGGGTGTAGTGGTCAGCACACTGAGCCGGTATTTCAAAGGTCCTTGGTTCGATACCCCGCGAAGGCGATTGCTAATTTTTCATCTCTCCGGCTTTCCAATTAACGTAATGTCTTTACAAGGTAAATAGAGAGGATGATCTAATTGGATAATATTTTTGTGACCAAAAAATCTCCCTATATGACGCGTCTGTATGGTTCAAGCATAAAGTTCTCAGAAATCGTCTTCACGCACATTTTTTCAATTAAAATCAGCATTACTGTATGGGGTTTTATTTGATCTGGCAATGTCAATTTGTCCGAAAACCCGTAACAGACATGAAGAGAATTGTCAATGATTCCGAAGTAGCTACAAAATCGTGGAACGTATTAAACAACCTTTTTATTTAAGCAAAATTTTTGTCTTAGCTGGCTCACAAATTCTACCCGGCGTATAAGATTCAAATGTCAGCAACAATAATCCAAAGCCGATTAATTACAACTTAACCAGAGCTGGCAGTACTAAAATGACGTGCTCACAAAAGGCAGAAACACGCTCTTCCTTACAATACGTATACTGATACGGAGTATGAAGTTGCTTTTGTGGCTCTCCAAGGAGCTTAGAGATTTCCCTCTTTATTAACATAGTTGTTTATGTATAAATAAGAGCGGTTTAAAATATTTCAGCTCAAATCTGGACTAATTTTCATAAAAGTGTCAGATATTATTTCGCACATTTTTAGATGATTTTCATTGTACTTACAGAAGTATTTTCATTTTTGTGTTTTAAATGCTCCATTTGGTAACCTTTATTTTTCACTGTCTTTGTGTACTGTAATTTCCAAGACAATAAACCTTTTTTGCGGGGGTAGCGGAAGAGGTATTTTATTCCATTTCTCTTGAACAGCTTTCTATGTCCAAGGAGGGATGTAGTTAGACGTTTAGACAATCCGCTTTTTAACAGTCCAGAAACGCAAAAATCCATAGATGATCATCAGAAGATTTAGTAGGAATGTGAGTGAAGGACATGATCTTGACACACGTTTCTTGTGTATGAAGGTTCCAAAATCCTTCACCGTATTTATAATCTCATTAAGTGTGACTTAAGAAATAAGCGACTTAACACTAAAACGTCGCTATGAATAAACAGAGTATCAACAGGAATTCGAATAACAGCAATTATCTGGCAGTCGTTGTCAACATGTATTGATTCATCAACTTTCGAGAAAAATTTTGTAGAGTTTGTAGAGAGTTTATGTACTTATCGTAAGCAGAAACAAAAAGCAGCAGGACTCTCCCCAGAATTCGAACTTCGGATCTCTGGTGTCCCATCCGAACTTGCATGTAACTACACCAAGAACGCAGAAATAAATCCCTTACAGTATACGAGTTCCACTACGGTAGGCTAATTTTACCTACTGTCTCTCTTAAATTTAGAATTCCGCTCCTATTCATGTATCCCTTCATTAGCATATTCTGGTAGAGTACTCGAAACAGCAGAAATAAAGACAATTTTCAGCATCAGAAATGATATGCAAATTAAAATAAACTTTGCAGAAGGTTGTTTTAATTGCTCGCTGGTTTAATTGATCATAGTACATCGCAGTACATCATTCAAAGGCGTTATTAAAATTCGTATTACATCATCTAAAAATTAAGACGGTACGTTCGATTACAAATATAAAATAATTTGCAAAATCGAAATTAAGAAAAAATGTTAATAATTGAGTAATCTGTTTTAAAATTGAAACGTATAGCTACAAGGAATATTGTGTTTTCAAAAATTAAATTTAGCTGAAATAGCTGCTTATATCTTTTCAGATTGAAAACGAAATATATTCATTTGTGAAAAATTTTATGTTCCAAAGATCTGTTTCATTTCAGGGCGGCAAACTACATGATGTATTATGGTCTCCAGATGAATGTTTATAATTTAAGCGGAAATGAATTTATAAACTTTTTTCTATTATCTCTGATGGAAACACCAGGCAACTTGCTTAGTTGGTTTATTATGGAACGTTATGGAAGGAGATTCACTAATACCGCTGGTTTCATGCTTGCAGCTCTTGTCTGTTTCTCGTGTATGATAGGTAAGATTTTTTTAGTTTTGTAACATTAGAGATAGTTTTAAATCTTATTTTTTAAGTTTATGCAGCTGAGCATTGTATTTAGTAAATCAGGAGTCAAACAACAAAAATTAGCGTTATATTTTCAAAATTTTCACAGGACTAGTTTCGATGGTTTTTACCGAACCAGCACATTTGCATTTTCGGTTTTGCAGCTGAGGATGGTGGTTCGGTAAAAACCATCGAAACTAGTCCTGCCAAAATTTAAAAATATAACGTTGATTTTTGTTGTTTGACTTCTGATTTAGTATATATTCGGCGTGTTATTGTGTCTTAATTGTATTTAATGCTCACTCCAGTATTTTTGGCATCAAAACAAATAATGCAGTTGCTCCTTTAATATATTAAATACAGTAATACTTCTAAACAAAACATACATTTATTCAATTAATTAAAAAAAGGACAGTTTTAATGTTTTCACTTTTTTTTTAAATGAACTCTGTGAACTTTTCATAATCAAAGTCGTTGATTATCTCATTATAACTCTTGCGCTCATTTCTGCTGTTATAAATTCAAGATAATTCAGCTTTGTGTCATTTAAACACGGCTAAACTAAACCTTTACCAATATCAGCTTAAACCCCTCTCTATTGCAGCTATTGATAGTATAATACCAAATAATTCATACCACCAATTAATGCGTTTGGATATGTACCATATAAAACAATACATATCAATATAGGACGCAAATTCCTTCAACGTGGTTAATATTCTTATAAAGATTTTGTTAACTGCTCAATTACCACTGATGTCAACTTGATGTTAACCCTTTCCGGCACGCTACCTTTTTAAAGTCCGACTTTTGATTTAAAAAAAAAAAGTAGGCAGTCTAATTAGGCCTAGAGAAGTACACAAGTAAAATTCTGTGAAGATAGCACTAATCTTTTTAATTCTGTGGGTGTGCCCAAAGGGGCACACTGATTGAATAGAGCTTCGAAAAGAGTGCTGAACGAGCATTTTGTCAATGAACTGACCTATGAGATGCGCGAGAGAAACAAAGAATACAGACTCTCAGTTGTCCTAGATAATCGGTTAGCCCGGTCTGGGCACACCTATCGTTCGCCGTTTGATTTTAGGCAAGATTTCAAGGCAAAAATTTAAAACTAATATAGAATAAGGAAATTAGCATAGAGCCAAAAAATAACATAGAAATTTCTTTTCAAGCAATTCCTTTTATACCCTAAAAAATCTGGAAGATTTCTTTGAAAAATGAGAGTCTTAAAAAACTAAACACGGCTAAAATATACGGACTGGTTTGTGTTGAACTGCCATGTACTAGAAATAAAGAAGGTTCAGAGTAACCTATTGTAACCTATAAATCCTTTTTCATTCAATTTTTCTCTGCATACAGAAGGAAATTTTAGGTGTGTCCAGACCGGACACACTGTGCCACAAAGGGTTAAACCATTGATATGAACTTCTAGGTACTAATATCAGATTATGGCTTCATACTGAACCTCCTGTTGTCATTTGTGTTAAAAGTGTGAAGCAAAATTTTCCCATTTAAATTGATCGCGAGTGTTTACCATTTTTTCCATGGTCATAAAGAAATGATACTGTCGCGTTTTTCTTCTCTGAAACCAGTTGTTTCGTTATTTTCTTCCTTCACGTTGGTACGGGGTTCGTAGATTTGGATTTAATAACGAGAGCACTTAATGAAGTATCGAAATACACTTTTAGCCAATATTAATCAGGACAGCTAAAAATTCACGTTTTACAGTCGTCGAAGATGTACTATACACTCACTAAAACAATCAGCTACACAGCCTTCAGGTTATCAGGCTATAACAGTGGAGACAGCTTCACTGCAAAACACCAGAGTACAGCTCCCGACTCGGCTCGGTCGTTCTCGGAACTCCACGTACTCTCGAGACTCTCCACGATACAAGTCGCGATGCACTGGACGACACAGAGCACAGCTCCCGACTCTTCGGTTCAGTCGTTCCCGGAGCCTAACACACCCTCTCGACGATACACTAACCGCTATACATTAAGAGACTCTTCGATGCACTCGCAGGCCGGCTGTCAACTCCATCATCTCCGCACGGACTAACTTAGATGAGACACAGTAACTGACTGCGGACCAGCAGGTTTTATATAGCTTTCGGCTTGTGTTCGAGAACATTCTGGGCTAAACCGGTAAGAATTCGTTCCAGAAGGTTCTCCATCCGTCCATGGTATATCGCCAATTTTGATGCCAAATGTCGCCAAGCGTGGCAACCCTGCCCTCCCTTACCATTTTATGGCAACCTTAATACTGCTTTGCGGGGAAACCATCTTACCGCGCCTGTACATTTCGTAACAATACGTTCATCATATTGAAATGTTCAGATATTTGTCTGTCTGAAGTATGTATTTTATTTATAACTGAATGAAAAATTAAATATCAGTTTCTTTAAATTATGTCCAATTAAAAACTGAAAGAGCAATTGTACGCCTAAATGTAAAATGTTTCTTTCTCAGAATATCCTTACAGCGATGTGGTCATTTCTGTGATTGGCAAGTTTATTGCAGCTGGTACGTATATGACATCTTATCAAAGAAGTTCAGAACTTTGGCCAACTGTTGTCAGGGGTTTTGGAATGAGTGCAAGTATTACAATAGCTACAACACTTTCTCTTGTTTCACCTTATCTAGTATATTTTGTAAGTATTTTCTCTAAAATAATAATTTTATTAAAATGAATAACTCAAAAACAAATGGGAAACATAAATGATAGAACTCTGAAAGTACATTATACATGTTTAATAAAGGCTACTCATTTTATAACTAAATAATTTGGCAAGTCTGGAATATGAAGAATATTTTATGTTATCATTATTTTTACCATTTTATCTTTATTTATCTCATATTTGTCACTTGTTTAAAAAAATGTTCATCCTAAAGAAAGTAATATTCACAATTAAAACAGTTAATTAAACTGACGAAAATTTAAATGTAGATACTTCTTTTATGTAATTAATTACATTATCTATCCCAGGAACTTATATTATGGTAAAAGCTATATATAGGAGGTATTACGTTTGAAATATTTTTGCAGAAATGCGGAAATAACAAAATTATATTCAGTCATATCGATGGCCTTTGGAGGCGGTTCTACAGCTTCATATAAAAATTTCGAACAGTCAACTTAAATGATGTGTTCACTGCTTACTAAACTAAAAACAAATACTTAAATTTGCTGATATATAGCACTATACAAATGTCATTATTTTTACTTCATCGCTCACAGTTGTCCGAGTCAAGTAGGCGGGCACCTAAGTGTTTTGATATTTTATTGCGATTTCTTTAACATTGATTCAGGTACCCTCGGGTGCAATAAAATGTCCTCGTACAGGACAACGACTGACCCTACAGATTATGATGGCATGGAATCGATAGATCCCGGATATCCACAAAATCTCTACCACTGAAGATAACGGACTTTGTGAAATTTTCTAAGCGAAAAGTAAAGAAAATAAAAATTCGATCGCAGAAATAGTTACGAAAAAGCCCAGGAAGTTCAAAGAACTTGGCAAAGCAGGAATTGAACAATGAAAATCAGAAATGGGTAAGCAAGCTTACGATAAATTTCTGAATGAAAATATGGATATTCTATGGGACCCAGAAGAACGGAAGAAAGCGGATGAGGAACTGGAAAAGCTACTTCTTTCCTGCAGCAGTAAAACGCCACCCCAAGCAGCAGACGAAGGTTGGAAATCGCCGAAAAAACGGCAAA